CAAGATTTGACTTACTAACCTAGAAAAATATATATACCCACACACATCCATATATACAACAACGAAAATCCGTCATCTATATATGTGTTGCGGCATGGTGATGTATGTTTATATAAACAAAAATATAACTGTAAATGACAGATGTGTGATGTAGACGGGACAATCAACTATAACAGCAACAACTACTACTACAACAGCTTCATGCTTTTAACTGTCAAAAAGCTGTCAAAAAATAGAATATTTTTGCTGCATACAGCGATGATGGTGTTGATGACTATACAACAACATTGTCTAGGCTGGGCAATAACATCAGAACAACAACAACAAATTGCTGCTGTTGACCTCTAAAATACTAAATAGCAGCAGCAACAGCAGGAAACAACATCATTTTTATGACAACCAGGAGGCGGTTCATATTTTTTGTTGTTGTTGTTCCTAGCTTATGGCAAATTGTTGTTTAAAGCTTTAAGTGCACAAACACACAGACACATATGAACAACATGTATTTACAATTTTTTTCTCTCACTCACTCGGACCAACATCCATCCATAACCACTCAACCACAACCGTATGTACATACATACATATATTCTGCCTTATAAAATTCACTCCTGGTCTAGTCTAGTGTCTAAATACTTTGGGGTAGTAGTTCGTTGTTGTTGCTGTTGTTATAGTTGTCTAGTGTAGTGTATTTGACATAATATGTCACTTTCCATTTTGATTAAAATAAATTGAAAGTTGAAACAGAGCAGCAGCAACAACAACAACAAAAAATAAAGGCAGCCTTTAACAACAACAAGAAAAAATTACTATATACAAAGTTAACGAGACATATCAGCAGACTGATGACGCCTAAACGGCGACAATGGCACAACACTGGACTACGACGACAGCCAACTAAGAACGCCGTCGTCTTCGTTGACGTCGATGACAATGATTATTTGATTGCACAGTTTGGGAGACCAGCGCAAAAAAAGTCTCCACTCAACTTAGTTTATTAAGTGTCATTATTGACACATAGTGACAATTAGAATGACAGCTAAAAGTCTACCCAAACATATTGGAAGACATTTTGATGGGGTAATTTATTAATATCCCATGACTGGGTATTCAAAAAAAGAGACGAATAAAAAAAATTATGACAAGATGATCAAAAAAAAAAAAAATGCAAACAATAAAAGTTTACAATAAACTTAAAAAATTTCAGAAGGATGAGAATTTTACTCAAAGTTCAATGACTTTTAAGAGAAAACAAATAAAATAAGAAATTAAGGATTTAACTTGGGAAAATACAAAATAATTAAAAAAAATATATATATATAATTTATTTTTTAAATAATTTTATATAAAAATATATTAGAAAAAATATTTATTTATTTAATAAAAAATGTTTTAATTAAAAAAAAAATTTCTAAAAAATAAAAAAATTTGTATAAGATTATTTTTAATAAAATTATATTATTGAAATTAAAAAAAAATATGTATTTGAATTTCAAATAGCCGCTTTTTAAAAATTCTCTTTTTTAATTTCAAAAACCATTAAAGCCCTTTGCCTCATTACTCTTTAAAATTAGTTCAGGCCCATAAAAGCAACGCGCCATCTTTCGAATACTCTAAATGAAATGTTAAATAAGTCGGAATAGTAGTTTTTTATGATTTTTTGCATATACACATTTTTTTATTACTGCGCCTCATAAATGGTGTTTTATGGCGCAGTTTCAACTCACATTTATGATCGAGGCAAAAAAAAAAAAATTATGTGAAACATTTGTTGTTACCAAAACTATTAAAAAATAATTTTTATGTGCGGCAAGGCACTAAGAATTTTTGCACTTCATTTTTTTCACTAATTCATAGGGAAACCCGCCGAACATCTTACAATGTAAGGGGGAGATTTTTAAAGAAACAAAAAAAATATTTTTTTAGTCTCCAAAAACCTTACAATGTAAGGGAACCTCCCTAAAAAATTTATATAAATTTTAAAAATTTTTTGAGGTCTCCTTCTGTCCCCAAAATCGCCTAAGACTTGAATTTCTCTCACAAATCCACTCTCACTTTCTCTCACAAATCCACTCTCACTTTCTCTCGAGCAACACCAACACAATAAATGGTGTTAACATTTATTTGTCTCATTTTTTTGACATCCAACATTGTTGCTGTTGACAATGTTGCATTGATGTTTGATGCCTAGGTTTTGACCTCTAAAAAAGTGAAGTTTTTGAAAACCAACAACCTAAACTTTAGTGACTAACTGGCATTTTGTCATGTCACTCAGTCAGTGAGCTAATAACTTGCACATTATTAAAAAAAAAACAACATGAAACAAATTTGTTGGTGATGGCGCGTCGTCTAACACACAACAACAACAGCAACAACAACAAAAATGCCACACAATTCTGAAACTTAGTTTTAGAACTCATTCACTCACTCGCTCACTTCAATTGAATACGAAACGGAATGGGTGCTCACAGAAAAAAAAAACTTCGACAACAGAACTCTTTGGCCGGTGCGCAACCAAACACAAGTTTTAAATAATTGTCTGTCAGAACTGTCAAACAAGTCGGCAAATAATAAAATTAATGGCCAACGAAAAGGCAATGCCAGAGCAAATAATACTACACTCCGCTAACACTACTACCGACACAAAAAATACAACAACAAGACTTTTTTGTAATAGTTTTTTTTTCTTTTTTGAATTCTGAATATTGTCCCAAGTTTTGCTGAAAAGCCTTTTGTTGGTATTGTTGTTGTTGTTTGTGGTGGCATGTTCCAATTGGCCGAGTTTCCCAGTTATAGGCCTAGGATTAAAAAATATTTTTTTTTGTAAAACAAAGCTATTTCGAAGGCATTGACCTGATTTTTTTCGCAGTATTTTTTTTTTATTTTTTGTGATAATTTAATTTTTTTTTTAATTTTCATAATTTTTTTAAATGTGTTCAGTGAAAGGATTCAAATATTTCTAGGCCTCAGAAAAAATATTTAGAATTTCCCGAATTTCCCTATTGTGTGTTGCAAACACATTACAACAACAAACAGTCGCAACCAAAAAGCCAACAACAAATGCCAATGACTGCGGCGACCTTAATGACAAATAAAAGTGATATATTTTAACGGGGAGCTTTGAACTCTACATTTGGCATACACGAGAGAGAGAATAGAGAGAGAGAACCAACACAGAGCAAGCATGTATGGCTGCTGGTTTGGTCTTCTTCTTCTGGTAAGACAAGATGAAAAATTATGGCTTTTAATTTTTACCCAAAAAACAAACACACGAAGAGATTTTTGTCAAGGTCATACGCGGCCCCCACACAATCCTTAAAACAATAACAACAACAAAAATATCATTGAGCATAAATAAAAGTAATAAATTTTGGTTGGCAGTTTCAGCACATGTTGCATGCGACTTGTGACAGAAAATGAGTTCGGATGTAAAACAATGGTGTTAACCCCGCCAGAGTTGCAATTTGGAAGGCAATGTCCTCTTCTATTGGTCAACGGTTTTGCATGGTGGCAAAATGATTAATGGACAAAGAGAGAGAGAGGAAGGGAGAGAGAAAAAAAATTGAAAAAATCCCTTTTCTCCTCGAACCTGTCACAAAGCATTGATCTGTTTTCCAATCATTTATGGGCAAGGAGGAGGGTATTGATTAGTTTGTTAAGGCAATCTTAAGCTACTGATGATGTTGAACTTGATGAACTTCTTCTGTCAGCATGTGCTGACATGAACGATCCGCAAAAAGACCGTTAAATAGTCTGGTTGGCCTATAAAATTCATTAAGAAGTTGAAGCAGCAGCATCAAAAAAATTGACTCATTTAATATCTGATAGTTAGAAGTAGTCGAAGCTGCAACCTAAAAGAAGGTGTATACCCTCACGTTTTGGGTATGGAACGGAAACGGTAGCTCGATCGCTTGTACTTTAAAAGCAGAAGCGACAAGCAGCCAGTCAGACAACCATCCATACATCTTTTCAACTATTGCCGATCGATAGCGCACAAAATAACTCATTGATGATGGTGATCAATGAGTTTGGTTAGACGGTCTCATAGTGTCTTTGACATGAAAAGTGCGTCACACAGCCAGTCGTTGGACTACTTGTCCTGGGCCCTTAATATGACGTGGAGGATGACGATGATGAAACCGAAAACTCATTATAGGTGATCATTTAATATTTTTATAATAAGTTATTCGCCCCGGACATGAAGAAGGATCAGGAAGAATTTAGGGCGTTGTTTTATTACAAACCCCCTTTTTGTGTTTGGTTGCGTTTGGCTGCCGAAACGTGATCGATCATTGAACGTGCGGGAGCTGTCCATCAGTCTACACCTGTAGTCTGCGATATTGATGTCATGCCATGAGTTCTAGATGATCGAAAGATGCCAATATTTGCCTGCCTGCCAGCCTTGTCAATATAATTTTTAATTAAAATTTAAAAGTTTTTAATGAATTTTTATCAGATGGGTTGCTTTTTTCGACAGGAATTTTGTGGCATGCAGCTTTTCGAACATGGCTACCCTTTTCTTTAAGAGATATCTCATCTCAGCATATCTTTCAGACTCTCCTCCCTTTAACTCCCCATTATGTCTTGATTTTGTTGTTGTTGTTGTTGTTTTTGCTTTTGCTGTTTAGTTTTAATATTGATTAATGTTCTTTTTGGTCTTTAAAAGCTTTTAATTAATTTATGTGTTGCCAGAAAATGCTACTGTGTTGAGATTCAGATTCTTCTTCTACTTCGTTTTTTTTTCAAGCAGTTACTTTGATTTGCTGAAAGATCTCTTCTTTTTGGGGATAAATATGAATTAATGGAGATTTTTGTGATTTATAGATTTCAGTGGTTTGTTTTGGATATTATTTATAAATATTTTTTATTTTGAATTATTTTTTCAACCTAACCCCAAAACTTTGCTTGCATTTTTTTTTAAATTTTTTTAGGCCATGCAAGTTATATTACAACTTAATATAAAATATTGGTTAATAATGAGGCGATGAAATGTGACTTACCATCATATGTTAGTTCTGTAGGATTTAGTGATGATAAGAACTTACCATCTGGAAAGAGAAAATAAGTAAATTTAAAATTAGTCAAGTTGAAAGAAATTAGAAAAAATACTAAAAAAAAGAAAAAAAAAATTAATATAAAAAATAAAAGATATAAATTATTTTGAATACTTTTTTATAATGTCTATACATTCAGGAAAAATACAAAATTATCAAAAACAATAAAAAATGTTTTCAAATATTAAAAAAAAAATAATAATAATAAAATTTTTTTGATTTAATTTTTTTTTTAAATTGAAAATATATTTTTTTAAAATTCTTCAAAAAATTTTTATGAAATTATTATCATAAAAAATTATCGAAAACAATAAAAAATGTTTTTCAAATATTTAAAAAAAAAATAATAATAATTTTTTTTTGATTTAATTTTTTTTTTAATTAAAAATATATTTTTTTTTAAATTCTTAAAAAAGTTTTTATGAAATTATTATCATTATCAACGTAGAAAAATACAAAATTATCAAAAATATAAAAATTCAGAAAATTTTCACAGCCCATAAAGTAAATGAGAATTATGCACTTTAAGGTAAATACACCAATGACATTGGATGTCATGTTTCCATAATAAAATTGCTTTAAAATGGTTAAAAATTGACATAAAAATATTTGAAGGTGCACAAAGTATATATTTTGACCTAAATATCAATGTTCAATATTTTCGTGGGTTGCTACTTGTATTTTGGGTCCAAACCAAAATTTAAAAATACTTTAAAATTGGAACAAAAAAATATTTATATTATACAAATGTGAATAATATAAGAAAAATAATTATTTTGAATTTTCAGGGGTTGCTGCTTACATTTTGGGACCACGAAAAATCGTTTTTAAAGTATTTCAATTAAAAATTGTGGTTATTTGTTATGAAATATTACTCGACATAAAATCACAAAAAATACAAAATTATGAAAAATCCAAATATATAGAAAATTGTTCTAAGCCACAAAGTCAATGGGAATTTTGCGCCTTGGTGTACTTAAGGCAATGACATTGGATGTTAAGGCTGCTCAATAAAGTAGCTATAAATCGGTTAAGAATAGAGATAAAAAATTTTAATTTTTACTAATGTGCATATTATAAGGAAAGCTTTCATTTGAAATATTTTCGAGGGTTGTTATTTATATTTTGGATCCCAAAAAAATGTTAAGATATATACAAATATATATTCACACATTCAATAACATTTAATGTCATATAATTATCATTGACTTGATGCTTTTTTGTAATTTCATTTTTTTTTTTATTTTTACTTATTTTTTTTTTTTTTAATTTTTGATAATTTCGTATTTTTATTCTGACTGATTCCTTGTAGCTTGGGAGTAATTTATTTATTTTTTTCTTTTTCGCAAAAAAGAAAAAACATTATCACTTCTGTCTGACCTGCCAAAATATACATGAGTTCTTAATAAATCATGATAATTAAACAATTTGAAGACAAGTTCCATCAAACACAAAGCTCCATCATACCAGGTATCAAGTAAACATAATTTTATTGTCATCAACAACATTAACAACTATAAACAACAACAAAAACAGTCACAAAAACTCAAAAAATACAACCATTATTTTTCATCATGAACATCTCGTGCAACTAACCAAACAACAACAAAAAACACCATTGATGCTTAAACTCCACCTAAATATGCGCTTAAATCCCCACAATAAATGTCAACTCTTTTAAAGACAACTTGTCAAATCACAACTCGGTACGCTGCTAAAGAGAAGATGACATCAAACCCCTCTCCCCCACACAGACACAACTCCTTCATTTTGCAAAACACCAAAATTGGTGTTGTATATTTTTATTTCGGTGAGTGTGTGTGTGTGTGTGTTTGGCAGCCAAATAAAGCCTGGCGTATCTTTATAAAAATACCAATTCGCACTTACAAAAGACCAACACCTTCTACCCATATAATAAAAATAAAATCGAAATTGTATTGCAATTCAATGTGGAAATGTTTAGCAAAAAGGGGGTTTGAAGGGGGCGAAGCACCACTTGAAATAAAAATAATACGATTTTAATAAAAACACCAAAAACAAAAAAACAAAAGGTCTGGCAAACTATAAAACTCATCAACGCCAACCACCATGAAGAAAAATTGAAGGATACCCGTGTGGTACTCCTTGGGAAACCAACCAAGTCAGTCAGCCATCCAGCCAACCAACCAAACCATTGAAACGTGCTGCTGCTGCAACAAAATAATGTGGCACACAATTAAATTCAAAAAATGAGTTAACAGCCAGACAGACAGCCAGTAGCTCTAAAATGTGTACATTCATGAGCATAGTCGATCTTTTAGCAAATGTACTTTTGTTGTTGTTGTTCCTTTTATTTTATTTTTTTCGAAAAACGCCCATATAAGGTCCATTTCGATTTATTTATCACCTGTCGTCCAAAATTGCAAATTTTGCTCAAGTACTTTTGGGTTGTAATACAGCAGCAGCAGCCATGTGAGCAACAAAACTGCATGGAACGAACTCCCTGCTTTTTTCGGAGTGTAGAAACATTTGTATGCTGTTTTGTTTTGCAATCTCACGTGGAGTTGTTGTTTTTCTGTTTTTGAGCCAAAGACGACATTGTCATTGTCTGCTCAAGCAATTAACCAAAAAAATATATAAATTTTTTGCTTAAGGGAAGCTTTCAGCTACGTTGTGGTCTCCAGCAGCAACAACAACCATAGTTGTTATATGCTACAACAATTTAGCCTTAGGTGCCACAAAATTTTGGCATAATTACTTTTATGTGAATGGCAGGGAAATTAACAAAAAAAAAAAAAAAAAAAAAATACGAAACCGAACTGAAGTCCAATGGTCAGAAATAAATTATGGAGTTTTATTTTTTGGGTTTTGAAGGGGGGAGGGAGAATAAAAACGTAATTGAAAATTAGCTTTCAGGGATTTGAAAATGATGAAGACGAAGATGACTTTGAAAAGTAATTAAAAATATTGATTTGAAATGGATGGATAAAAAATCAATTATTTGATTTTTTTTTATTAAAAAAGTTAATTTTTTCGGACCAAATATATATAGCAATCCTTGGGAAAATTTAAAATTTTTATTGACCTTATAAAATATAGATCACATAATTTGAAAAATTAGTTTTTTTCACTTTTTAGCTATTTTAAAATTTTTATTGGGATGCAAAATATAAGTGGCAACCCTCGAAAATATCTAAAATTTTTATTGCCCTAATCAAATATAAATTACATAATTTTAAATATTTTTATCCTAATTTTTCATATATTTAAAGACGATTTATTTTGTAACCTTGACATCCAGTGTCACTTCCATCCGTATTCTAAGGCATTGGAATTCTCATTGACTTAAGTGGTATGGAACATTTTCAATATAATTTTGTATTTTTTCTAAGGTCATGTGGATTACTTTTTTTTAAATATTTTTACCTCTCTTTTTAGCAATTTTAAATTTATTTACATTGCTAAATTTTTATTTCGCTTTTTAGCTATTTTTTTATTGGGACCCAAAATATACATAGCAACTCTCGAAAATATTTAAAATTATTATTTCCCTTGTAAAATATACATTGCATAATTTTAAATATTTTTTATCTTCATTTTTCATCAATTTAAAACCGTTTTATTTTGTAGCTTTGCTATCCATTGTCACTTCCTTCGCTACTATAAAGCATATAATTCTCATTGACTTTGTGGGCATGGAAATGTTTCAATATTTTTCGTCATTGAATTATTTTGTATTTTTGCTAAGGTCATGTGGATTATTTTTTATAACTGTTTGTGTTTACATTGCTAAATTAAAAAAAATATATATTTTTCTTGTTAGCTATTTTAAATTTTTTAGTGGGATCCAAAATATACATGACAACCCTCGAACATATTCTAAATGACCATTTATTCTATAAAATACACATTACATAATTTTAAATATTTTTTATTGTAATTTTTCATCTATTTAAAGCCGATTTATTGATAAGCTCAACATTCATTGTCACTTCCTCCCGTGTTCTAAGGCACATAATTCTCATTGACTTTGTGGTCTTGTAGAATTTTCAATGTTTTTTGATATTTGATAATTTTGTATTTTTGCTAAGGTCATGGGAATTGCAAATAAATAATTTAAAAAATAAATAAAATTCAACATCCATATTTTTCCAATTTTTTATTCAAAAAAATTTTTTTCAAATTTTTTTTTCAAAAAAAAATTTTTTTTATTTAATTTTTTTCTTTATAAAAATTAAATTCTTTCTCTGTGATCACTTAAATTTGAAATTAATTTCATATGTTCGATTTGCGCTCAACCATGTCGTCGTTGACAACAACCAAACATTTTGCTTTTGCCATTGTTCTTGTTGCTGTTGTTTTTGTTATTTGTATAAATATTTAATTATATCTATTTTATATCTTAATTAATGGTGACACTTTTTTGTTAAATGTTTATCGTTAATTGCATTAAAAACAAAATCGAAAAAAGTGAAATAAATGGGATTGGACCGGCAAACAACAACAAAGCAAACAAAAATTGGGTGAGTGAGTGGAGGGAAAACCAAATCTAATGTATTTGGTTTTTTCGAAACAAAACAAATTTACATTTTATTTTTTTATTTTTTGAAAAAAAAAAATTAAATTAAATATTTGATATGGAATACATTTGTAGTAAAAATTTGTTGTTTTTTGTGCATAAATTATTTTCCATTTTTTCTGTGGCGGCCTAAAATTTTTTTAATGTATGCATTAGTTAGTTGCTGTTGTTGTTTTTTTTTTTTACTAAATTGTTTAAAGTGCAACACAATGTTTTTGATTCTTGGACTGCTGCGGTTATCAATATTGGGTTTAAATTGAGTTTGTATATATGTGTGAATGTGTGTGTGAGTGCTCAGAGTGCTTCCAATAAACTCAATACCCAAAACCGAAATAAGAAAACCGGACCATTTCATAAGTAAATTTACATGTTCCTTTTTTCCGTAGCGAGATAAAGTTAAGAGTCTACCTTAGGCTTTACAGGGTATGGCTATGGA